GCCCTGCACCCGCACCACGCCGCGGGCGGCGGCCTGCACTTCGACGACCGCTTCTCCGACGAGCAGCTGGTGACCATGTCGGTGCGCGAGCTGAACCGGCAGCTGCGCGGGGTCAGCAAGGAGGAGGTGATCCGGCTGAAGCAGAAGAGGCGGACCCTTAAAAACCGTGGCTATGCCCAGTCCTGCCGCTTCAAGAGGGTGCAGCAGAGACACGTCCTGGAGTCCGAGAAGAACCAGCTGCTGCAGCAAGTCGACCACCTCAAGCAGGAGATCTCCAGGCTGGTGCGCGAGAGGGACGCGTACAAGGAGAAGTACGAGAAGTTGGTGAGCAGCGGCTTCCGAGAAAACGGCTCCAGTAGCGACAACCCGTCCTCTCCCGAATTTTTCATGTGAGTCTGACACGCCATCCCTGCTAGCCACCTTGATAAGTGCTCCGTGGGGGTCCGGCTCGGGTGTGGGCTTGGTAGTTCCAGAGCCACGCTCGCCACCACTTCCCCCCTCCTCTACTGAGTTGGCCCCCTTTGCCCCCAGCACACACACACACACACACAGGAGACCCAGCCCCCAGTTTGTGGTGGTGGCTCTTTTGAATTGGGGAGGGAGTGGGTGTCTAGTTCATGGATTACCAACCTGAAATTCTCCATAACTTGCTAGCTTGATTTTTTTTTTACAACCCCCCCCTTGCACAATGTTCAAACATCTCAGCAAAGTTCTTCGTGTGAAGCGTAACTCACCTTCGAAGCCTGCATCATTCACATATTTTTTTCTTCTTCTTCTTCTTCTTCAGTTCATGACCTGGTGTTCATTTTCTGTGTGTGTGTTTTGTTTTGTTTGAGTTTTTTATTTTTTATTTTTGGAGCTTGCTGTGTCCCCCTTTTTTTTCCCCCCAACTTCCACCACCCACATCCGCTCTTCATCCATCTCCTTCTAGATAGAAGGAAAAAAAAAAAAAAAAAAGTTTTTTTTTCCTCTTCCTGAGTTCTTCATGTGAGATTGAGCTTGCAAAGGAAAAAAAAATGTGAAATGTTATAGACTTGCAGCGTGCTGAATTCCATCGGGTTTTTTTTAGCATTTTTATGCTCAGATAGAACTTATCCTCATGAACCTGCCACAATCAAGCCTGCAGCAACCTTCTGGGTGTGACTTGTGAGTTTTGGCCTTAGGATGCCAAATCTGAGAGTTTAGTCTGCCATTAAAAAAAAAAAAAAAAAATCCTCATTCTCATCTCATGCATTATTATGCTTGCAACTTTGTCTTAGCAACTATGAACTAAACTGTTTCAAAGACTTTATGGAAAAGAGACATTATATTAATAAAAAAACAAAAAAAAAAAAGCCTGCATGCTGGCCATGTACGGTATAATTATTTTTTCTTTTTGTTGTTTTTCCTTTTGGCTTGGAAATGGACGTTCGAAGACTTATGGCATGGCATTCATACTTTGGTTTTATGCCCTCATGACTTTTTTGAGTTCAGAACAAAAAAGTGCAACCCTAGAGCCGTCTTCCCTTGACAGTTTGCATCTGTTCCCCAACTGCTTTGAGCTACTCAGAAGTTCAGCCTCCCATTGTAACTGCACTGAGGCATCCCCTGTCGAAGATGCCAAATGGGTTAAACATTTAACATGGCAAGAAATTAAAGAACTCTGAAGGTTTCTTTTTAATAAGAATGATGCCCCACTTTGGGGACTAAAAATTGTGCTGTTTGCCTAAAGCAGTCTAAAATTTATTTTTTAAAAGAAATCTGCCCCATTCTTTTTGGGTTTGTTTTATTTTTATTTTCTTTTTGGCTTTTGGTCATTGTCAAATATGGAATGCTATGGGTTTCTAGTATATAATTTAATTCTAGTTTTTATAATCTGTTAGCCCAGTTAAAATGTATGCTACAGATAAAGGAATGTTATAGATAAATTTGAAAGAGTTAGGTCTGGTTAGCTGTAGATTTTTTAAAAGATTGATGCACTAAATTGTTTACTGTTGTGATGTTAAGGGGGGTAGAGTTTGCAAGGGGACTGTTTTAAAAAAAAAAAAAAGTAGCTTCCACAGCATGTGCTTGCAACTTAAATATAAGTTGGGTATGTGTAGTCTTTGCTATACCACTGACTGTATTGAAAACCAAAGTATTAAAAGGGGAAACACCCCTGTTTATATCTGTAGGGGTATTTTACATTCAAAATGTATGTTTTTTTTTTTTCCAAAATTAAAGTATTTGGGACTGAATTGCACTAAGATATAACCTGCAAGCATATAATACAAAACAATTGCAAAACTGTTTAGAACGCTAATAAAATTTATGCAGTTATTAAAGAAAATGGCATTACTGCACAGTTTTAAGATGATGCAGATTTTTTTACAGTTGTATTGTGGTGCAGACCTGGATTTTCTGTAACTTAAAAGAAAAAAATCCACCGTTTCAAAGGCAATAATCAGTAAATGTTATTTTCAGGGACTGACATCCTGTCTTTAAAAGAAAGAAAAAAATGAAAAGTAAATCTTACCACAATAAATATAAAAAAATCTTGTCAGTTCCTTTTCTTTTACATATTTTGCTGTGCAAAATTGTTTTATATCTTGAGTTACTCACTAACCACGCGTGATGTTCCTATGTGCTTTCCTTTCATTTTCAATTCTGGTTCTATCAAGAGAAAGAATAATCTACAATAATAAACTGCATTTTTTTTTTATCCTGTACTTAGTTTCTTAGTGTATAGTTAAACTGGGTCCCACGATCACATTACAAGTGTGAACTGCAAGCTGCATCCTTTTTCTCCAGTGGAAGGGCTCGTGGAGGAGTAGGGAGGAACCGTTTCAGGGTGCAGTGTAGGCTGCTTTGTGACATGGGGTGGAGGGCCCTTTATAGTAGTTAGCAATATTTTAAATTTAGTTGTAAATTAGGAGTGCTCCATTTTCTTTTTTCCCCTCTCAGCGTTTTCAGTTTTCAAATGCCTTTAGCCGTCATTGCTTTCTACTGAACAGAGGAATTGGGCCTTCTGTCTATGGCCTAAGCTTCTGCTGTGGAAGCAGGCCCAGCTACAGAGACAGGGGAGAAAATACAGCAAGCCTCTCAGAGGTGGCTTGGGCACATATGCGTTTAATGGTCAAAATAAACAGTCTTGCCTTTTGGCTACAATCGATTCTTTTGCTTTCTGCCCTTACACACGGTGATTTTCTTGTTAGTAGGGCCTGACAAGGTTTAACGTTAGCACTTTGGACAATTCAAAGTTGTGGTGTTTTGTGTTGTTTTTTAACTTTGTAGGTCACTTGTCTTAAATAGGAACAAGAAAACCCACCCCTCACTTAGATATCTAACTCCTGGTGCCTATCTGGTTGACACAGTGTTATCAAATCCTACTTCACTGGGAACACTGAGTGAAGGGCCTCGTATTTAGAGACAAACTGGTAATAATTTCAGGGCACTTCAGCCCCAGAAATGTAAGCAGAAAATAATGCCTTCGTAGAATATATGCTGTGTTTGTGTTTTGATTTATTGATATCTAGCCCCAAATTGGCTAGGCGTCGGGGCTAACTACAAAATCATTTGGGAAGCCTTGAGTTGCCTTGGCTTATAGGACTCCCAAGCATTGACCTATTTTAAAATGACACAAATCCATGTAACTAACGTTACAAATTCATGCAGTTTCCAGTTAGTCAACTTCCCTAGAACACTAGCAGAATGATAGACAAAGCCAGCACTGTCTTAAAAATGTAACCTAAAATGATGATTTTTGTTTTATTTTGGTTTCGGATCTTTCAAAGAGAAAAAAAAAAAAGCTATATTGTAACCCTGCATGGAGGCCTTATTTTGAAGAAAACAGGAGGTTGTGCTCAGTGCGGACGAGTCCTGCCCAGTTTATCATCTTGTCTTCCGGTTTTTCGTAGAACTTGAAGACGGTCTCTATACCCTCTGCAGGCTGACGTTCTTTCTGTGCCAGTTCAAATAATAGCCCTTGACTCCCCACTTAATTTTAACAGCAGTCTTAATTGTAAACCTACATCTGGGTGTTGGATGTTAGCTGCTCTCTGCTTCATAGACCGCCCCCCCCCCACCATCACAATTAGGAAATATACACAGACTGTCTGCCCCTGAAGAAGCCGAAATGAAGAGATCACTTTGTGAGGAGTTCAGCATCCGATAAAAAAATTGAGACAAGCACATTCTCAAAAGTGACAATCAGGGCTCCCTTCTTGCAGTTCTCACAAGAGGAACAGGGCTTGCATTGAGAGAAACATACAGTTGTGTAGCAATTAAGCATTTTATAGGAAGCTACAAGGCAGTTCAATATAAGCAAGCAGGTTTGGGCCCCAGGCATCAGAAGGCAAAATGGAGAGGTGCGGGCAAAAATGGATTTTTAGGGGCTGGCTGTAAGCAAAGGTTAAAATAACCTCCGGTGAGAGGCATTTTGAGCGAGAATGATTAGTAAAAACTTTGGAATGGAGTTCTAGTGGCGGACCAATAAATCCGCCTTTTTTTTTCCCCCTTTTTCTAACAAAGAATCTGAAATCCTGCATAGATACCATTCATTACAAATTAGTCTCTAAATGAGGGGAAAAAAAGATCATATAAGTAAATCTAGCTTTCCCTTGACACTGATTTGAGTCTTTGTCTAAATAGTGTTAAAATTCCTTTCATTCCAGTTACACTACTGAGCCCCATCGCAAGTTGGAGCCGTCAGTGGGACACGCACATTTTGGATGCTCCAGCAACGTGTACTTACCAGTGTGTTCACAGAGTGAATTTATGTGACAGCTATACATTCAAAAATGTAATTAGTTAATAGTATATGCAGTTGTGGAGAACAGCCTCCCCCTGGCTCCGCTGTTCTGTGTCCTTTAAAAAAAAAAAAAAAATTACTGTGTTAGAAAAGAAGGTGATTAAATGTATATAGTCTCCATACTGATTAACCATGGCTCTTGTCTGAGGGTCTTATGGACAGAGATGCATGGAAAGGGAATCCCTGTCCCTGCCTTACAATGCGCACACCTACACAGGTGCGGGTGTTTTCAACCTCTAATACTCATTGTGCAAATCCACTGAAATGACGTCTATACAAATACACATGTGAAGGAAAGTTCCCCAGAAGGTAACAGCTAGCACTTTCAAAGCGTATGTAGATGGGTCCACACTAAATAGTACTTTTTCACGCTTCATTGTTTCTCTGGCAGATAATTTTACTGAGAAGAACAAATATCTGACTCCCCCTCCCCAAACAGATGTCATGGGCAGAAGCTTCAGCTGAGCCTGAACACCCCGGTTTTCTCATAGGCCCCAGATAGTGTTGTTTTTATTAATAATGTCAAATGTGTTCATTAATCAGACGTGCCGCAGATGCAAACAGTGTGTGGAAACATACAAAGTTCAGCACACACCCTCTGTGCTTTTTTCATAGTTTTAATTTCCCCTTTTCTGCTCCCGAGCATTCATAAAACCAACCACCTCACATTTCCCTGCATCTTGCCTGCTTCCTTGTTCAAAAACCACGTAATAAGTGTTTACAGGGCATCCAACATAGGAATGTATTGATGGCAGAGCAGCACCGGTCCTACTTCCGGGTCCCAGAGAGGAAAGGATGTGTAGATACCAGATCTCTGCCTCCACACCAGAAATATCTGAGCCCCCTTTCAACACAGGCCACTCTAGTGGCAACCAAAAAAAAAAAACCTACTGCCATTAAGTCAATTCTGACTCAGAGCTACCCTGCAGGACAGAGTAGAACTGCCCCATAGGGTTTCCAAGGCATCAGTCCTTAGAGTAGCAAACATCTGTCTCCCTTGGAGCAGCGGATGGATTCCAACTGCAAACCTTTCTTGCCCTGAACCACTGGGGGGGCATCAAGGCTCCTTCCTCAATGGCAGACTCTCATCTGGTGCTCCCTGTACCGTTATCCCCAGAGTTTGTTTTGTGTGTGTGTGTGTGAAGTCAGTTCTCGATACAAGCAGTCCGCGCGTTGCAAATGAGATCCTTTCTTAAGTGTGTCTTTAAGTCGAATTTGTAGGTGAGTCGTAACAGAAGCATATTCTTAGGGAGCCTCACTTTAATGCAAGAAAAGGCTCGAAACCTTTTCAGTGTTTCAAAAACTGCACATGCAGCAAGTGACGGTGATCGTGATGAGGAATTTGTTGTAAGTAGGGGTTGGTTCAGTCTGTTTCAAAGTGAGGGCAAATTTACACAACATCAGAGGTGAGGTAGGAGTTGTCTGAAGAGGAGTCCTGGTGGCACATTGGTTAAAGCATTCAGCTGCTAACCAAAAGGTCGGCAGTTTGAACGTGGACGTTCGTAACTCGGGGAATTACTGTACTTATGTTCCTAAATAGAATCTCCCCTTGCCACCCCAGGAGCTCTGGTGGTGTGGTGCTTAAGGCACTTGACTGCTAACCAGAAGGCAGGCGGTTCAAACCCACCAGCCACTCCTCAGAAGGAAGGTTGGGCAATCTACTTCCGTAGAGATTCTGCCTCAGAAACCCAAGGAGGGGCTGCTATGAGTCGCAGTCGACTCCATGGCAGTGAGTTTGGTTTTTGGTTTTCTTGCCACCCACCAGCTCTGCTGCCTAAACAGAACAAGTAGTAGCCACACTTCATGAACAGCATGCAGCTGTCTCAAGTCACTGCATTCCTAGTGCTTCCTCGCCCAAATAGCTCAAGTTGCTTATAACACATTCGAAGGTCCCCAAGTTCATCAGAAGGCTTCTGCTGTGGCCGCTGCGGCTGTTGATGTTCACACCAACTTCCAGGCTCGCCCACGCTTACCTTTATGAAATGGGCTCCTCCAGTAGGCGAGATCAGTTAATACATCGAAGACTGTGCATCGCACACAGGTATCTCCATTTCTTGCCTGCCGGTAGTTAAAGACCAAGGCAGGTTGGAAGATGAATATATATGAATGACAACCTTCAGAAGGCCGCCAGGTAGAAAAAGAACAAACACAACCAAGCTCAGGCCTTCACTATCTGAAACGTAATGGGAGGGGAATAGCAGGTCAGGCTCACCAATTTCGGATTTGCTGATTGGCACATCTCCTCACTGAATGTCACATTCCTTTGATAAAAGAAAAAAAAAAAAAGTCCCTTTCTTTTGAAGAAATGAATGTCTTAGTTTTGGGGGAGGCTTTATCTGCAGGATAGGCTAGGCTTTCTGCTACTTCGGATTAATCCTCAGGACCCTGAGTGAATAATAGGGGGTCTGTGCCTCCCCCGTTGCTTAGAGGAAAATAAGGAAAAACCCAAAGTCTTTGTCCACTCTTGGCTCATCCTCAATCTACAATTGCTGTCCCAGGACCAAGGCTAGGCATGCAGTAGCCACAAGGGAGGTGGCCCAGGGACCAGCACAGAGAATCTGGATTTTGCACGTTTTGTTTTAGCATCTGTTGGAAAATAGAACTGGCGCCTTAACCCTCCTGGTATCATTGCTTTGCTGACTTTTGATACAAATCTCCAAAATCCAGACATCAACCAGCCCCCCAAAAAGGAGAATTCTCTGAGAAGGTTGCTCTGCCCAGCTCCTGAACAAACCCAGCTCTGTCTGGCACTTTGCTCTGGCGGGGGTAGGGAGCAGGGCGAAAGAATTCCAGGCGCCTGGGCTGCCTCCTGATTATTGGGCCATAAAGGAACACAGTCCTCCAACGTGGTGGGAGCATCTTTACCCTTTAGACAGGGACAAAACACAACAGTACACAAATCAAATTGCTCTGCCTGAAGGCGGAACAGGGCCCCAGGCCCTCCATACCCTGAACCAGCTGTAGGATGGGAGAAATGTGCAGTTCCAGGAGATGCTGAGAAAGGCTTAGGACTGAGGCAAGATGGGGGAGGCCAGTCCCTGGAAAGACCCCAGCTTCCAGCCTGAATTTTACCTCACGGGCCAGGTCAGACCCACGTATATACAAGCCAGGTGCAAACTGGGGCTTGGCGAGGTCTTGTTCTTTAAAATATGCTCCTTTGGTGAGTTTTTGCCAACAATTTTAGGGAACGAACCCAAGGTTTAGAGATCCCAGGGAACTATCAGTGTCTTAACTTTTATAGATTTTTATATAAATTTATAAGTGTATCAAACTGTGGTTTATGGTGATAGGTTGGACCAATCAGAGATGCTACGCCAATATTTATATGACCAGCTCAATGGTTGATTTGTGTTTTTTAAGCATCACCATAGATTTTTATTGTCTAAATCTGAAAGGCCTTGGTGTGTTTTCCTAATATAACAAGGGTGATACGGAAAAAGCGTATCAACAGTGCACAGAAACCAGATCTTTAGAGGAATTTGCCTCTGAATTGGACAGTTTTAAAAATACCACCCTTAAAACCAGGAACTCACATAACACATTTTCCACAGAGAGGCTGTGATTGGCATGCACACATCCTTACACAAATCATAAAGAATCCGTTACTGAGCAGCTCTTCCCTTGCTCAACAAAATCCATATTCTTTTGCTCGGTTTTTTGTTAAATAACAGTTTCCCCCATAATTAGGACTTCGGATTGCAAAATCACATTCCTCCCTGCACATGACCCCCCACCCCCACCCAGCAACCATCCCCCATTCATCTTAGATCCTTCCTTAAGATAAAAGGGGCATTAGTTCAAGAAAGGACAGGAAGGGGTGTCTGCGGAGGTCTGGGGAGAGGAGAGAGAAGGGGACACGTTCTCCTAGATGTACCCCCATGCCCCTTGGTCAGCGCAGCCCTGCCGGCCCAGGCCTGGGTGTGAGCTCCACAGCTGGGGTGGGGTCTGACTTTCTTGCTTCTACATATTTCAGTCACCAGCCTTGCCTCTTTCCAAGTCAAGATTCCAGAGGGAGGTTTCTTTCTTTTTTTTTTTTCTGGTGGCTGGTTCCACTGGGGTGGGAAACATTGAGGACACAACCTTATAGGGCTAGGCCTTGAAGAAGCAAAAGCTGCTGTTCTAAGACTCCCCAGCTAGGAAGACTGGGAAGGAAGCCTAGCCTGGCAGATCGAGGTCAGGGTGTACATACCCTTTTTGCAACCACAATTTGCCCTAATTCTGAGTGACCTCATCAACATCTGGAGCCCTGCAGAAGTGGGTCTCTGGATTTCTCTGTGGCTTTCCAGAGGCCAAGCAGGCATCCCAAACTAGGCCCAGCCCAGTTAGAGAAGGGCCAGGGTGTGTGAGCTATGGATAGTATTGCTAACACACTGACCTTGGCTTATGACCCCCAGTCTCGGGGTGGGCTCCAAGTGGCAAACCCTCCCCACACACACACTTCCCACCAGGAAGCATCTGTTGGCAGGGAGACTACCCAGCCACCTACAGACCCTCAGCTCCCATGGATTTGTGAGAACAATAGTGAGATCCTTAGCACAGGGCCTTAGCTCCTTATCCTCCCACCCGTCCCATTTCTGCCACACCCCCAGAATCTTCAGCACCCCTTCTTCCCCAACCTGGTCACCTAGGGCCAGCAGAGAGACCCAGGGCTCACTGCCCTCAGGCCAGCAGGCAGTCTTGGGAGCTGAAGCTTTGGACCCAGTAAATCACATGGCCCAGGGTTTGTGCCCTCCCCCAGGCAACCCTGTTGGGGGGAGGGGAGGTCTGGAGAGCAGCCTAGGAGAGGACCTGGGAGGTGCTTCAGGAAGGTTGCTGGAAGGAGCTTCTGGTGGCAGGGGTCTTAAAGCCTGGAATGAAGATGAAGACTGGCAGGATGCTGAGGTTGTCCTCTTCTCCCGTTAACAAACACATGGATACCCTACCCTCACTTCCGCCCTGTCCCTATATATCCCGGCTCTTTGG